AAAAGAGGTGATATCGCTGTAAGATGTATTATTTATGTCGGGTTTTATGACAATGTGTTTATGTTTTATTTAATGCTCGGTGTTTATACAATGTTGTTGTAATTGTCTTTACATGAAATCTTACACACAAATTCTGAACATTGGGATTGAGGTGAATTCCAGCCCCCAATTCTGAAGGGAGACCTGTTGTATGAAAAAAAAACAATTGCCCGCCTGCCCCATCCGTCCAGGGTATATTTAAAACTGCTTTATTCAGCACATTGGTGGGCCCCCTTTAAGCCAGACTCCTCGGTCAGGGATTCTGAGCTTAGAATGCTGCTGTGTTCTCAAACCTGCCATGTTGTGTTCCCTGACCTACCATGCTATGTTCCCTGACCTGCCATGCTGTGTTCCCTGCCCTGCCATGCTGTGTTCCCTGCCCTGATATGTTGTATTCCCTGACCTACCATGCTATGTTCCCTGACCCACCATGCTGTGTTCCCTGCCCTGACATGTTGTATTCCCTGACCTACCATGCTGTATTCCCTGCCCTGACATGTTGTATTCCCGGACCTACCATGCTATGTTCCCCGACCTGCCGTGCTGTGTTCCCTAACCTACCATGCTGTGTTCCCTGACCTACCATGCTGTGTCCCCTGACCTACCGTGCTATGTTCCCTGCCCTACCGTGCTATGTTCCCTGCCCTATCATGCTGTGTTCTCTGACCTGCCATGCTGTGTTCCCTGATCTACCATGTCGTGTTACATGGTATTGCAAAAAATATGCTCCTACTGCTGCTCTCTCTTATACAGTAACTTTAGGCAACAAATCAATCAGTGAGCTGCCAGTAAACACCTTGTGTTCATTTCTTATAAGAAAGTTCAATCAGTTTACATTGAAGCTTAATTCTGCAGGGTAATGCTCAAAGAATTCAGTTGCAGTCTGGAGTAACACTGTGGTGTCTGGTGATAGTAGATAGCTATATCTACCGTCCTCAGCAAGCGTGATCTCGAGCAGCCGCATCCACCTGAACCCCGGATCTTCCTCTAAACTGTGGGCAGGCTGTGCCTGCAGCTCAGAGAACGATCCAGGTTTCAGGCAGATGTGGCTGCTCGAGATTACGCTTGCCGAAGACCTCGGCAGCCGCATCTGTGATTGCACCTCCTCTCTTCTAGATCTGGTGATCTATCACATAGAGAAGAATGAGGAGACCAGAGCTAGAAGAGAGGTGGGGCTATGTAGATACACATGCGGCCGAAGGTAAGAGGCATGAAGAGACGGGGTTAAGGAAATAGCCATGCGGCAGGGGGAACCAAGATTTACAGGGGAACAGAATTCGACACAACACTAGCACCCTGACACCGTGCTGCCCGCCTGCGTACCCCTTGGTGAGACACCATAGCCCAGACAACACTGATAGTCGCACAGCCCACCCGAGAGTCACACAGCCCACCCGAGAGTCACACAGCCCACCTGAGAGTCGCACAGGCCACCCGAGAGTCGCACAGGGCACCCGAGAGTCGCACAGGCCACCCAAGAGTCGTACAGGCCACCCAAGAGTCGTACAGGCCACCCAAGAGTTGCACAGCCCACCCGAGATTCGCACAGCCCACCCGAGAGTCGCACAGCCCACCCGAGATTCGCACAGGCCACCCGAGAGTCGCACAGCCCATCCGAGAATCGCAAAGCCCACCCGAGAATCGCACAGGCCCCCTGGAGACATCAGGGCGCCAACCCATAACAACACAGAATATGTAGCTTCACATTATTTTGTATTGCTGTATAATGTATTGCTGGGATTTGTAGTCCTCTATAGCTGGTCTCCTTATTCCCTCCCCTGGCTGCCCCTCCTCGCTCTCTCCTCTATATTCTCAAAAAAAAACCACACACAACGCTAGAGTGTTCGGGTTTCACTTGAAGATATGGTGGCAACCCTAAGCACAAGGTAGCACCTAGCTGATAGTCGGGGACACTGTGTGTGTAGTAAGTGACCAAGAGGCAAGGGGTTTATTTTCACGGTTTCTTCTGTGATGCCAATCTGTAAATAAACAGTACACCTGAACAAAATCGTTTCTTGCTGTGCAGTGAACTCATCCAGGGGGTCACACTCACCTAACACCCTCACCGTAGTTTAGATTACTAAAGCAAGCACGTGTGCTTCTTAGAATATCTGGTCCTGCGCTGTTCCCCCTTCCTATGGTATGAGCAAGAGCAAGAAGGAGTTTACAGTGGACAGGACGGCTATTCCGGTGTTCCCAAAACAGGTACAGGTTTTTCTTTGGGCATTGGGGTGGGCTGAGATACGATTGTAACGCCTGGATGAAACACTGAAGCCTTGGCCAGGTAGACTGTTCTCCATATATGCATCTCAAGGCTTCATTTTCAGTCTGACCAGAATGTATGTTTAATTTATTCACCGGATGTATGTTGCTTCTATGGTATTTTGTATAAAGGTGTATTATTGATGTACATTTTTTTTTAAATTAAACATTTCTTTGGTTTTTACTGTATATGTGTTCTGTGCATTCTTTATCTGTGATTCCTTAATACTGCACATATAGAGGAAGATTGGACCAGGCTCATCTCCAGCTCAGCGGACCAGGAATGAGCCATGTACAACAATGGAAAAACAGGCTGCATTGGATGGAGGGGACAAGTTCTCAGATGTTGTACTGTGTGGGAAGGACGCTATTTTTCCCTTAGGGCCCATATTAAAATTGCTACTTTTCCCTTAGGGCCCATATCAAAATCGCTACCTTTCCCTTGGGACCCAGTCACACCATATCCAGTGCGTTCCGGCGTGGATTGAGCCCAGAACGCACTGGATTGCATAGATCAAAGCGGGGCAGGAGGGGGCGTGGCGGTGCCATTCATGTCAATAGCACCGCAGACATGACCACGGGTAATGGGGAATCACTGCTAGATTGCGGAGAGGGAGCCTGAGAAACGGCTACCACACTTAAGGAAGGCAGCAGGCGCGCAAATTACCCACTCCCGACTCGGGGAGGCAGTGACGAAAAATAACAATACAGGACTCTTTCGAGGCCCTGTAATTGGAATGCTCCGCCAGCACGCAGTGCGATCACCTGCACCGGAACGCAAGGTGCAGGAATGCCCTCCGTTCCGGTGCAGTGCGATCTAAAAAAATGCTGCATGCACTATTTTTACCAGAACGCAACACGGCTTGATCTGTGCGTTTTGCCCTTGAACCGCACCAGAACGCACTGGATATGGTGTGACTAGGCCCTGATACTGGTGTTTAAGAATATACAACATAATCCTTTACAGCAGGGGCAGGCAACTACAGTCCTCCAGCTGCGTGTTTACTTTAAATCTCATCATGCATCTGGTTATGCCTGTAACTGTCAGTCTTGCAGTGCCTCATGGGACTTGTAGTTCCACAACAGCTGGAGGGCTGAAGCTGCCCACCCCTGCTTTACAGGATGGGCTGGTCTACACATCAGACCAAAGAGAGTTGACAAGGAAAGCCACAGAGGTGAAGGATATTTGGGCAGCACAGTGGTGTAGTGGTTAGTACTTCTGCCTTGTAGCACAGGGGGGGGGGGTGTCCCCGGTTTATTTCCCATCAGGACACTATCTCCATGGAGTTTGAATGTTCTCCCTTTGCTTGTATAGGTTTCCTCTGATTCTGCCCACTCTCCAATGATATGCTGGTAGTCCAGTCTGTCTAAGTCAGCCCGAGTCTGTGTATGTATACATGTGAGATAGGAACCTTTGATTGTAAGTTCATTGGGGGCAGAGACTGATGTGAATGTACACTACAGTACTGTGTCAATTGTTGGCGTTATATAAACAATAATATTTGGGTACTAAGCTGTGAGGATCGATACTACACTTAGGCTCCTTTCACATGGGCTGATCAGGAGGGGATCTGTGCACGGACCCCCTCCTGATTGGAGCAGTACAGTTTGGATGTCACTGTTGTGACATCCGTGCCTGTCCAATTTTATGAATCCATCTTGCGATAGAGGAAATAACTTAATCTGCTGGACCCCATGTCAGTCTATGGAGAGTCGGATGTAAATGGACTTGTGTCTGTTTACATCACATTACCCCAGATCTCGCACGATCAGGTATACTGAGACGCCGCAGCCGGAGCGGATCCCGACATCGATGTCGAGATCCGCCCAGCTGCATGAGTGACAGCTGGCTCTGCCTATCTAGAGGCAGAGCCAGCAGTACCCGCCCCCTCCCCGTCCGTTCCGCCAGTTAGCGCTGGAGAATCGGAGCGGGGAGGGGGGAATCCAGTCCCTCCCCTGTCACGGCAGAGAGCTGTGACAGGATCGAGAAGTGACCGAATGCCAGTATATGTTCGCTCACCTCCCGATCTACTGAGCCGACCTGTGACCGTGTCATTGTCACAGGTCGGCTAGAACTATGAGGTGAGTGAAAAGCACTCGCCTCATAGTTCTCCTTTAAAGAAGAACTCCAGGAATGTAAAGACCCTTGCAGTGGGGCTCAAATAAAGCAGATATACTCACCTGCACCTTGGTCCCACAGTGGCCAGCCTTCACCTCTTGCCAGCTATTGAATGTCTTTCTGTGTTCTCATGTCTGATGCAGGTCAATGGAAATTACATTAGACTTGATGACATCAGTGGTCCTTAAACTGCTGGAGCCTGGGGTAGAAGAGGCTACGGGGGACCGGTCTAGGACAGGGAACCAGGAGAGTATATCTGCTTTTTTTACCCCCACTAGACAAAACAAGCATTTAACCTTTGCAGTGTGGGGGTAGCCCCACTCCAAGGGTCCTTTTTTTTTTAAATTCAGGGAGTTCTTCTTTAACCATTCCCTAATCTCGTCAAAATAAAAAGCTTGGGTTTTCCTAACACTTTACCTGAGCACACAGCACCAACACTAATATACAAGAACGATAATATGTGAAGGAGCAAAGACACAGACAGCCAAGCTGTTTTTAGCCGTTCTCCTCCTCCCGAGAAGGTTATAACATGGCACCAACTCCATGCTTAAAACTGCAGGAGTATTCGCAATAAGACAAAAAGAGCAACCTTGTAGACTGAGTGGCTGTATCCTCTTAAATAGAGATTAAATACTCTCCCCGCTGTCAGATATTTGTAAAAATCTCTTGTAATTCCACAATCAGTGCCAGCCCTCATTGAGTGTCCCGGAGGGCCTTTTACTTCATTGGCAGACCTTTTCTGGCTTTGCACAACAATGCTGGAAGCGGCTGATACAAGCGGCACAGATGGCTCGTGCATACTCGGGTATGTCCAGCAGGTGGCAAGCTTGTTATGCGTATTGGCATTGGTGCCTTGTATACTCTTGGCAAAGTCAGCTAGAGCAGAAAATGGACAGACAACCTTACCACCAATAAAATACAATGATAAATACACAGAGCCGTAGCAAGCTCCCTTTGTGCCCGAGGCAAGAACAGAAAATTGTGCCCCCCAACAGATGTGTCATCATACGACCCGCCCCAGGATGGCGTGCGCTGGTGGCCAAATCTAAAATAGCATAAACATGTGTTTTGTTTCCTGAAACCTAATGAAAACATTTTTAGTTTCCGTTCATTTCGTCCAAAACAAATGTTTAGTCTTTGCACATGTCTAGTAATATGTGTCTATAAGTGTGTGTGTGTCTGTGTGTGTGTGTGTGTGACGAGCCGCAGCTGTGTTGTCCGCCTGGCTCTCCTGTTGCCAATGGCATCCTGTGCTCACCGTGGCAACAGGGGTGAGGGGGCGCAGGCAGGCCGGCCCTGGCTGCGCCCCCAGTCAGCTGCGTCTGAGGCGAGTGCCTCACTCGCCCCATGGTAGCTACAGCCCTGTAAATACACTTTCAGAAAGTCACAGCCTTCAGATGTGAAATAACACGAACAATTAAGCCTTGCTTCACCATGGGGGTAAGGTTCAGCTGCAGGAATGCCCGGGTATCATATACAAGGGGTTAAAATGTCAGCCATTTCCTGTGCACAAGATTCACATTATTGTAGATGTGCCATGAAGGGGATGAATAGAGGTGGAGAGCAGCTGCAATCAGTTCATCAGGGGACAGGGCTGAGATAAAAACAGAGGGTGATATCAACAGAGACGGGTGCTTTTCCAGCCCAAAGCCGGGTCTTATTTATCAATTATCATTTATAAGTGTCTTATTTATCAATGTATTTTTTTTTTCACCTCAGTGTCTGTAGTCCTGGATGGTGGACTCTGAAAGGATTGCGTATATCCAAAGCTTTAAACTTAACCCCAAACTAAGCCAGGAAACCTAATCCTATGCCTAACCCTTAACCCAACACCTAAACCTTAAAGTGACATTAAAGTCACAAAACGTTTCCACCTCCCATGCAGCTATAAGGACTTACCATAAATGATGCCTCTTGATCCAATCTTCTTCCTTCCATTTGTATTCAGCAATCCCTCCAGTGCTGGTGCCGCTCTCTGATCCAGCGTAGTATTCTCATGTCCCACGGTGTCAGTCTGACGTGCATGCTCCCAGGTGCGTGCATGCATCTCCACTGTGTCTCTCCTCTTCTCCCTGCCGATGATCTGTACTACGCATGCGCCCGCTCCCATCATCCTGCTCGGCCGCTCCAGATCTTCAGCTGGGAGCGAGCGGCGGAGACACAGGTAAGTAATTACCTTTTTGGTAACTTTTTTAATTTTTTATGTTTTTGCTGAACTTTCTTTTTTGCAGCTATTGTATTTTCAGTTTTCACCTGGTGATTCTGCCAGTAGCACACTTCCTGCCCTATGGTGACAACACCTACTCACCATACTATGTCAGGACAACAGAAACAGGCTACATAAACTATCTCCTCTCCTTATAGGAGGCGCATGAAGATTTCGGGCAGGATCAACAGGTATTTTTTAGCGCATAGCAAACCGATTTCAATGGCGTATTTAACAGACCAAAAGGGAGGAAGTAAGAGAAGCTCGTTGTTAGGCTTAACAGACACTTTAAACTTCACGTCCTAACCCGATCCTACACATACTGTATCTAAAGCACAATAAACCTCCTTGCCAAGGCTAACCCCCAAAATAATGCATCACCTGGACTATCAGCCTGGTACCTAAATTGTATGGAGAGGATCTGCAAAAAGTCTTGTGTTAAGAAATTCCTTGGTTCAAAAAACAGCACTGACCATTAATGAGCCATATGGTACAAAGGACACTGACAATAGGAAAGAATGCATACATTTTTCAGGTAGGCGGTGACACAAACAAAGGTGGGTAATAAAATAATACAAACCCAAAAAACAATTTCAAATAACAAGTACGTATAATGACAGATTCACACGTTTATACATTTTTGAGTCACAGCATGCACTTTCATGTCTGACCACTAGATGGCAGGCTTAGCCCCTGTATTATTATTGTTACACAGTTATGTCAAATGTTTTTTTTATTTTTCTTCAACATGCTATTCAGTGTGCATGTTATATAACATCTCACATCAAAAAGAACAACTTTACACTTGACAGTGTATTATAAACTTTTAATGGGTGTAAGGGTACCTGTCCAAACTGTGTTGGTTGTTGGCTAGTAGGTGTGTCACCGGTCCCATGTAATAAGGGATCGTCCCAGATTTGAAAGTAAAATCCTACATCCTGTATACTATATGGGATACAGTCTGTCCCATGCTTTCGTGCACTTCTTTCATTTAGTGGTGATATTACTACCGCCACCAATTGACAGATTGACACCTTCCTGGCCTGTCCGCTACAAAAAGGAAAAGGAAGGGGGAGGAGGATATCTGGAGCCCCCCTTATGTTAAAGGGGGCTTCCAGATTCAAAAAAGTACCTAAAATGACACCTTCCTGGCCAGTCCGCTAAAACAAAGAAAAAGGAAGGGGGAGGAGGATATCTGGGGCCCCCCTTATGTTAAAGGAGGCTTCCAGATTCCAAAAAGTCCCTAAATGACACCTTCCTGGCCTGTCCGCTAAAACAAAGAAAAAGAAAGGGGGAGGAGGATATCTGGAGCCCGCCTTATGTTAAAGGGGGCTTCCAGATTCCAAAAAGTCCCTAAATGACACCTTCCAGGCCTGTCCGCTACAAAAAGGAAAAGGAAGGGGGAGGAGGATATCTGGAGCCCCCCTTATGTTAAAGGGGGCTTCCAGATTCCAAAAGGTCCCTAAATGACACCTTCCTGGACTGTCCGCCAAAACAAAGAAAAGGGGAGGAGGATATCTGGAGCCCCCCTTATGCTAAAGGGGGCTTCCAGATTCCAAAAAGTCCCTAAATCCCCCCCCCCCCCCCCCCACACACACAGACACACACACAAATACCCCGCAGACCACCATATCCACAGGCCTTTTTTACCATCAACATGGCACAATGGTGCCACCCTCGCTTGGTACCCTCCCCATGTTGACGTCATGTGGCCTGGTACTATGCAGCACAGAAGATCACCAGCACTCAACAGAATGAAAGTGTGAAATATTTTTGCTTTTATTGAAGTTATATCACGTCAAGTGTCATCAAGTGTCTTTTTGGGGCCACACAGGGTCCCTTTCTTTAGGGTGACATTGTCTGGTACTGTGCAGGGTGATGGTGGGCGCACACCAGCTACATACCTAGATAAGGGTCTGGTACACTTTTTATTTGCTTGGGGGCTCCCCTACTAAATCCATACCGTAATATATGTCACAATATAGGTCACTACTCCAGCAAAGGTGACATAAATGTCACTGTTGCTGGAGTACATTGTTCAGATGCAGGATTAAAGCATCCACCAAGAATGGCAATTAAAGGAATAAATGTTGCTCTTTAAGCATCCCCAACCTGTCTCTTTTTTGCTAGAACAAAGGTGGTAACCCTAGCTGTGTTTATGGAATGCAGCTACACCAGACGTGTCTTTGCAGTAAAAACCATACACTTTATTCTTACTTACACGTACAGAACTTCTAATCGCTGACACCGTTGTAACTCTGCGATTAAGCCTGCTTTGTATGTTATTGAAAATTCTTCAAAAAAAATTACTTGCTTAAAAAAAACCCATTCACTTTGTAGTTACAGTTGTATTCTATACAGGGAGTATAAGATCCCACCACTGGCTAAGGACACTTATTCTATTTTATCTGCTATTTAAAGGTACCTATGTATGATCAGTTAGTGGCCGGCTGCTAAATTATCATTACTAGCAACAATCATTACAGAAACATACAAGTTTGCATGGGACATCATGCAGGTTTCTACCTATGAAGAATGGAGCAGAATCACTCTGACTGCCCCTGCCTCGCTATGCATTTCCTGCAATCTTTCTGTGTGTTGGTATTTTGGTATGGCACAGTCTCTCTGGCATACTTGGGGGTTGGGGTGTCTTTGCTTACAATGAAATGTACACTTGATGTCTGGCAGAGACTGCACCGATACCGTTTTTTTGGTATCGAGTACCAATATTTTTTTTTACGGTACTCACCGATACCGAATACCGATACAGGAAGTCTTATGACTCACAGGAAGTCTTATGACTGTAATGACTCACCAGCTGGCTTCCTGATTAGCACCAGGCGACGAGGAAGCATGGAGCCGGCTTTCTGGCCAATCAGGAGGCTAGGGGGCGGGTAATGACTTCTCGACCAATCAGGAAGCCGGGCAGTGAGTCATTACATGGCGCCTGGCTTGCCGTTTGGCCGGAAAGCCGACTTATCCTCCCTCGTCACCTGGCTTCCCGAGCAAATACTCGGTTTCAGCACCGATATCGATACTAGTATCGGTATCAGTGCATCTCTAGACTACACTATAAAGTGAGAATGCCAAAGACAGCACATGGAAGTGCTACATACAGAAGGATCGTATTATAAAGACTTCCAATTAGGGAGAGACAGTCTGAAAATAACCATCTTCTGCCATGACTCCTTTTATGTTCTAGTGACAACTCAAAATTTTGGATTACCCTCAACTTCAGTCCCAGTAACAAAGTTAATCAGGACAAGTAGAGCGGGTAAATCAACCTAGACAGCAATGAAACCTGATAGACCCTTGCAAACTCTATTCATGCACTTTAAATATTTATTTGAAAACTTTTTTATCTAAATAGTATAAAAATATAAAACTTCAGTTTAACAACGAATACAGTTACAAACACTGTAAAAAAAATAAATTGACCTCCCAACCGTTATAGTTTCCCTTTAATATAGGAGTTGTATTTAAGTTAAAGCAAAAATGATGTATGCACGCTATGTATGCCAGCAAAGGCCATGTGCTGCTTTCCGTAGCTGCCTTTACAGGTGAAACTCGAATAATTAGAATATCGTGCAAAGTTCATTTATTTCACTAATGCAACTTAAAAGGTGAAACTAATATATGAGATAGACTCATTACATGCAAAGCAAGATAGTTCAAGCCGTGATTTGTCATAATTGTGATGATTATGGCTTACAGCTCATGAAAACCCCAAGAACCCCAAATCCACAACCTCAAATAAGTAGAATATTACATGCAATCAATAAAACAAGGATTGTACATAGAACAATATCGGACCTCTGAAAAGTACAAGCATGCATATGTACTCAGTACTTGGTTTGGGCCCCTTTTGCAGCACTTACTGCAATTACTTTTGCACGATATTCTAATTATTCGAGTTTCACCTGTACATTACTCTCAATGCCTTTTAGACGTTTCATGGCAGTGATTTTCAGCATAGGAAGGCTTTTAGACTTGGAGAGAACATGCCTCTGGCTGCAGTACCCCTCTCCTCCTTGCACTTGTCCTGGGGGCGGTGTAGCGAGGTCTTCAAACACTAAACCATCTTGAACAGGGAGACACAGTGCGAGTTGGTGCAGTACTTCTCGCTGATGGTTCTAGACCCTGAGACAAGCCCTGAGCTGTCCTCTATGTCACATTTCTCACGTACTCCCTGAACACACGGCAATAACAATACCAGCTGCAGGCCCACGCTTGAAGTTGATTGGTGGTGACAATAATTTTGTTTACGCCTGGAACAAGTGTGAATCTAGGGGACGTTTTCAAGACGCAGTAAGTTTCAAATGACCCCTAAGAAATGGGGAACGTAAAGAGTTGGCAGGAGGCTTGTCAGGCCATCGCAGGCGGCAAATATTCACTTTATTATCTGGATGAAAGGGAACGGATGGATACGCAGAGATCATGTATTCAAAGCTGAGTGCGCTCGGGAGACACCACGAAATGAAACGTCTGTTTGATGTAAAATCCGAAAGCAGGCTTCATGTCAATAAACATAGATGCATTGTGGCTTGTAAGCAGATATAATACGGCAACATTTCTATGCACGAATTTATATTAAGGGCAAGTCCATTCAAACAAATGAATATTATTCAAGCAGTTTTAATGGCTACTGATTTCCTGTGATCATTTCCTATTTCTACCAACCAGTTTCTATCAGTGCTCCAATGCTTCTTCATCCTCAAGGGTGCATCATCATTTACCAGGCCTGCAATTTCTTCTGTAAGCGGTCACTGCCCCGCCGCCTGACATATATTTCAACACTTGTGTGGTGGGAAGTTCCCTGACTCATTTCTGGTTTCCATTGAGAGGCTGCATTCTCAGTGATCTCACCGGTCTCTAGTGAATGGATAGGCTGCATTCTCAGTGATCTCACCGGTCTCTAGTGAATGGATAGGCTGCATTCTCAGTGATGTCACCGGTCTCTAGTGAATGGATAGGCTGCATTCTCAGTGATGCCACCGGTCTCTAGTGAATGGATAGGCTGCATTCTCAGTGATGTCACCGGTCTCTAGTGAATGGATAGGCTGCATTCTCAGTGATGTCACCGCTCTCTAGTGAATAGATAGGCTGCATTCTCAGTGACGAATGGACAGGCTGTGTACTATGGACTCATGCTTGTGTAATAAGGTTCAGATTCCTTCCTGGAGTATGTTCAGGACTGGTGAACACACCTCTATTCTTCTAGTCAGTGAGTGGAAGCTATTAAATTGAGATTAGGAACAATTGTGTCACATCTCTCCATTTCTCCTTCCTTGGCTGAGCACAGTAAATAGAAGTAATTCTGCTACCCTAAGGGGCTATTTATTTACATGCAACATTAGCATCGCCTTCGACAGGCACAATTTGTAAGCCGGTGCCAGCACAACAGAGCACTCTTCCACCTAATTTGCCATTGAAGTGGCACAATCAGTGGAATTCGACTTTTAATTGACAACACGCAGCAGAGTGAGAACATGCCTTATCTTAATAATTAACCTGCACAGCGAGTCTTACTGGGAACTGAACAATGTGAGCTTCATTACTGCAGATCATTCAGAAGAAAAATATTTTACAAAGTCCTCATCATAAATATTTATCGAATAATTTTTGTGGTGGGGATGATTTTGTTTGTTTTATGAACCAAAGAATTTGTATTTTTTGTGATTCACACACCTTTTTTTTTTTTTTGCTTAGGGTAATGCCTTAAATACCAAACCAGACTCGAAGGGCCTGATACGATTTTGGGGGAGGACTGCACAAGTTTTTTTTTGGATGGGTTTGTGTGGGGTCCCCCTTAAGGTCTACACCATTGCCGTAGGGCCTGGTATGGATTTTGAGGGGCTCCCTAAGTCATGTTAAAACATTTATTACTGACATTCATCCAGGATAAGAATGTGCTTTAGAAAAATGGAATCCCCAACCGCTTTGTGTACAGACAGATAGAAGCAGCCCGGAACTGTCATTTGTCAGCAATCTAAACAGCATTTTTTTTCCTTGTAAATGTCAGTTTTGCTGGAGTAGGTTATATACATTGCACAGATGCGTCACTTCACAGGCAGGTTCAGGACATCCCCCAAGCATGTTATTTAACTGCCTCCGGGCCGGCCGTAGTAAAAAAACGGCCGGCCAGGAGCTCTCTAGATCTGAGCGGGCGTCTCTAGACGTCCGCCCAGACACACCCCCTTGCGGGCGCGCGCGAGCGGAAAATGGCCGTTAATATACATGCGATCCGCCGGCTGTAAAGCCGGCGGAAAGGAAGGGGGTCTAAACACCTGGTCTTGAAGTGGTTAAAGGAATTGTACATTTTTAATGTTGCCCTTTAAGCATTATTAAAGTCACTGATCCTCCCCCAAACGGAATATTGTTTTACATTTTTTTTGCTTTGGATTATGTCCTCTGAGGTGCAGCCCAGTCCCCCAACCCCTCTGCCCTTTGTTTGCCAATCCCTTGCCCCAATATATTACCCTAGAAAATGGCCAATAATCATTCATAAGCGTTGGTTCCCATTGACTTCAATGAGGTCCAGATTTGACACCTGAACTTAACTCCCCCTGAACTGAACCCAGGTACGTTCAGATCATCACTACTACTGATAAATGTGAATTGCAAATATTTTATTATGTTTTTAGAAGCCTCTATCACCTGCCGAAGAAGTATCTATATAAGCTGTGACATGTATAGAGCTTCCTCTGTACCACCGCCTTCTCTACAATATGATATAAACTTCTTGTACTGTATAATAACATTATATGGAGTTCAGGGATCCTATATATTATAATGGGGGTAGCTGTTGGGGGTTATATTGATAAGAGATTGCACCAGTGCGACTGGGGTGCCATTAGAAAATAATGGCACCAACAGCAAGATCGGTACAAACCTAGGCGACACCTGACCACACTGCAATCCACGCGGAATCATGCACGATTGCCATGCAGTGAGGTGTCGCCTAGGTGTGCACCTGTCCTGAAAAGTCAGGCTCAAACTAAGTAAAGCTAAATAAGGGGATAAATAGGAACCTTTTTTTTTTACTAAAAAAGACTGAAGAACTCCAATTATTTAGGATTGTTTAGATTCTTGCATAACTCATATAACAAGCAGTAAATATATCTTTAAACTAAGCCCTCACTGACCTCTGTAGTTACAGTCACTGTGAAGGAAATCAGCCTTTTACAATAGAAGCATTCCTTTAAGATGGGTCTCAGCCCTCTGCTCTCCCCAATCCTGAGCACCTGCTTTGTGTTTACGTTACAGATCAGAATTTTCAAAATGATCATGACGTGCGGCTGTCACTTACAATTTAATACTGTAAATATATATAATTATATGTAACTATTATAACTTAATCACACAGGTATTCTGTTTTATGACAGTCCCTTTAAATAGAGCATATAACCTACCTGCATGTTGCTCTCTATCTTTTATCCCAGTGTACAGTAATTCGGCCACAAGACATCTTGAGGGACCCCAGTAACATAGACTCCTGTGTATAAAGAACAAAGTATATATTTTTTTCTTTGACAGTGCTTCTGCATGGTCTAAATTCATCCTGGCATTATACTGACACTCAAATTAAATCACAATGTAAAACGTGTATTCATCTTATGACAGACCCTTTCACCTTTCCATAAGAACGAGGAATTTCACTTGTCTCTTCTCTTCTCTTAAAAAAAAACTCCAGGCAGATTTTTTCAATATTCGGTGTACAACAGTTACTTGTCCTGAGGTGTATCTCTTGATCTCCGCTGTATTAAAATCACTACTTGTGTTGATGATATTACAGCTATGGTGGCACTTCCAGCCTGCTGCAGCCATGAGAGCTGGGGCTCTTCTACAGGGAAGCGATACTGCCATTTGTCTGTCCCCCTCCTCTTTTCATTCACAGAAGCCTTGCATTATAGCATGCTGGAAGAACACCAATAATTGTAGTATACGGCTTCAACACAAGTAATGATTTTGAACGACACTGGCGCTGAGATATCCCTCATGAGAAGTAACAGTTATATACAATCCAAACTGAAAAAAAAAGTTCCAGGAGTTCTGCTTTAATGCTTAGCACAGTCACAATGGGGGGAATTTATCAAAACTGGGGCAAACAGAATCTGGAGCAATTGCTCATGGCAACCAATCAGCATCTCGCTTCAGTTTGCCCAGGTAAGATAAGGATAAATTCCCCCCAATGTTTTTTCAACAAGCCCCTTAGAATGGAAGTGACAGGCCCTCTTTAGGGAGACATTAGGGCTCTTGAAGGCCCCTAATGTCACCTATGGAACCCACTGAAGCTGATGAAGCACAGATCATGCTTCACCAGCTTCTCCAGCCACAGCAGCCGGAGAAATTACATTCTGAAACTGGAAGTGACAAAATCCTTTTCGGTTCCAGGTTCAGAACTGGAGGGGAGTTCAGACACTGGAGGTGTGCTGTGTGTATCCCTCCAGTCCAGTCCAGCTGCAGACACCTGTCGTGCGGGTCGGGGCCCACATGAGGGACTGAGCCTGCTGTAGCCCTGATCTTGGTATTAACCACTTTAGGCCCAGGGCAAATATGTAAGTACGGCGTTCCTAAAATGGTTAATTTTGGAGATATCTTTGGAGAATCCTTTTTGTCGACTGGCAACTTAAGCATTTGCATATTTCTCAATTCAACTGAAAATGTTCAAGGAAAAACTGAAGCATAAAATGATATAAAATGAGCTATTCAATTACTGTTCAATCAACGTCAGTTTCAGTATCAGAAATGATAGAAGATGATTTGTCATTAACATGTCAAAAAATAAAAAAATACATTCTCAACCAGGCAAATGACTGAATAAAACAAACGTTCAATACACCACTCATTTTACAGAGAACTAATTACAAATGCGCATTAATGTAACATTCTGAATTTTTCTGCATCTAAACCCAGGAATAGAAACTTTACATTTTGTAGCTCACTGGTTCTTAGATGTGGCGGCTGTATTGATTGATTTTTGAGATTTCACACTTGTTTGCCTTTATATTTTCCTGGTGATTCTGCCAGTAACATGCTTCCTGTCCTAGGTACCACTCACTTCTCATACTGTGGCTATGGCAGAGCAGCGTTGTCACCCTAGGAGACAAGCATGTCAGGACAGGAATGCTAATATGCATATGCCATATCTGACCAGCCCAGGGGGATCCTGTAAAGCACTGTAGTGAGGTGGTGCTCCCTTGTACCTCAAGTGTAACTATGGGCAAAATCAAATATGACATATATGATGCAGTCCATCAATAGCTAAATACAAGGTATGCAATATTATGCATACATGTATTAGTCCAGCTTAGCCCAATGTAAGTGTGCATATGCTAGACATGATTGGCCCACTAGGATACTGTAAATCTGTGTAGTAGCCGCAGCTACTACAGTGCTGGCCGCGATCTTTAGAGTCCTATATGGTGCAAAGTGACACAAGGGGTTGCTCGCTCGGCACATCAGCCATTTAGAGTACACCTAGTATTTTTTTTACCAATTAATACAAGGTGTTCTCTGATTGGGCATGGGGCAGTGATGACACAATCCACCCCTCATCCAATCAGAGAATGCCTTGTATGTACCAATAAAAATACTAAGCCTTCTATGCATCACTTGCCCCTCACTTGAAACTTCTTCATGTATCACTTGCCCCTCCCTTTTAGATATTAAGCCCTCAGGGGCAGGGCCCTTCTTACCATCTTGTCTTGAATTGTATTGTGATTGTAATGTCTTCCTTATATTGTAAAGCGCTGTGCAAACTGTTGGGGCTATACAAATCCTATATAATAATAATTCTATAAATGGCCGCTGTGCTGAGCGAGCAGCCCCTTGTATCACTCTGCACCAAAGAATGCCCTGTATTTATTGAGCCATTCTCCAAATGGACGCTGTGCCGAGTGAGCAAGCGACCCGTTGTGTTTTAAGAGCAGAGGGGAAGCTACAGTACAGGACCTGAAGGATCACAGCCAGCACTGCAGTAGCTACGTTTACTACACGGCTTTACAGTATCCCTGTGGGCCAATCAGGTATGACATATGTATACTTACATTGGACAAAGCCGGGCCTATGTACGTATGCAAAATAATTCATACCTGGAGTTCAGTTTTAACGCTATTGACAGACTGCATCACTTGAAGTCCAGAGGATCAGCAATTCGTGCTACTTCCCTACTTCTAAGCTAAGAATTCCTTTTCTCTTTCGACTTTCCTTTGGCTGTATTAATAAAATATATTTCTCACATACCCAGAGAAGGAGCAGTACCCATCTCCCAGCAATGTGACAGCTCCTGTGAAAGAGACAGATGCAGAATCTGCTAATTATTTTCCCTCCCACACTTTTGTGCCACAAAAGGTGCGGGAATGATTGAAAAGTCAGACTTTGTGCCAGTTTGACAGGAAGTTTTGCGCATGCAAACCTGACAGGTGCGGATGAATTCTAGAACCTTAAAGGGGTAGCGGACGGTCAGCAGTGCAAATGAGACGTCTGTCGGAAAGCCTAAAACCGAGCAGATCTGGAAATGACAGGTGCTTAGCCAAGCGACCGTGAACATTTTTAATGGCTGCCATAAACATATCATGCTAATTTGTACGTGTGCTTTTATTTCAGGCACCTTTATGAGGACCATATAGATCAATTTTTGAAAAGGTGGTATGCCTACATCTTAATGGCAACTGCAGTTACTTCACAATTCCATGTACATAATTGCTGCACAAGCCACTGCAATTAAATGTTATTAAAGCTATCTTTCAATTGGCATTCAGCTCTAACTTTCTATGACTGGCAATCAAATAAAACTTCTTTTACAGCCAACATTGTCAACAGGATATAGCTATAGACAGTATTTCCCAGGATCCTCCACCCTCTGCTCCTCTAATTGGCTCACGGTCTCTTACAGAGGTCTGCATAGAGCTTAAAAGAAGATGTAAACCCAATCACTTACATCTCATGTCATTCAAAAAGTTATTTTTTAATATTTTTCAATCTGCAGCTTTCAATAAAAGAATGCCGGGTGATCCTGCCACAGAGGACCTTGTTCAGGGTGACAACCAGGGCCGGATTTACTCTCTCTGCTGCCCCAATGCCAGGTTCCTCAATGCGCCCCCCTGTATGCAAGCTGCATACAAGTGATCTTGGCGACATCGCTGAGATCACTTGTACATAACAAGCTGCAGCTTCCCTGCTGTACATTTAGCCCTGCTTGCCCAAAGCTGGGCTAAATGTAGAAAACAACTACCCGCCCGGTGCCCAGAACTGCATGTCCCGGGCGTTGGGAGATAGGAACTCCACACCCCTGCTGACCCTCTACTCCCTGCTGCCCCGAGGCTGGACCTTGGTTGGTCTTGTGTGAAACCCAGCCCTGGTGACAACGCTTTGTCCCTGTCTCCCCAGTTTTAGCTGTAACTGAAACACTAAGGTCTCATTCAAACAAAGATTTTAAGTCCGGCTGATTCCTGCGGCAAGAATTACAGGTGGTTCCGGACAGCTGTGGTCGCTTGGCCTGTACGAAGCAATGACAGGCTGACAGGAGCTGCAACTGTCCATCGTTTTCCGATGCTATCCGCATGTAATTCCGCAGCGGTTACATACGGCAAGGGACAGACTTGCGACCCTGGACACAGACAACTTGCGTTAAGGACCGGCCATATGACCCTTGCTGTAGGTAGCTGCTGGATATGCAACTGGATAATTCCTGATGAAAAAAATCTGCTGCTTCTTCGTAGGAATCCACAGCCAGATATAACGTTATTAAATTATTAAACTGCCATTGAAAATCAGGTTTGTTGGCAAAATGTACACACTTTCAGCTGTTTGCAATGAAGAAATCAAACAAAAGCAATTGAAACAGGTCAACACAATGAATGTTTCAAGTGGTTTCCCCAAATTCAACTGAAAATGCAACTTTTAAATGACTTCTGCAGTCTTAAGCTGGCCATACACCTTAGGCTGGGCACACACCTTACAACCATCGCAAGACTTTTGTCTTGCGATGGTTGTAAGGTACTTAAAAAAACGTACGATCTGCCTATGTTGCATAGGCAGATCATACTTGCGATGATCGCAAGCCATGCCCCCTGAGGGGCGGGCTTCGGATGACCGCAATGCCGAACGGGCAGTGTGCGCTTGCACACACCGGCCCGTACGGCTGTTATCGTACGGACATGCCACAAACCCGCCGAACATCGTACGATGCTCGGCGGGTTTTCGAACATGTCCGTAAGTTAAAAGTCGTGCGACCTTACAGTAGCAGAGGTCGCACGGCTTCCACGCACCTTACGATAATCGTACAATCGCGGGATTTCCCGCGATTATCGTACGATTATCGTAAGGTGTGTGGGGACCTTTACAATTATCTGCAGATTTTCTGTGGTCAGATGAAAAAGTGCAACAGATTGGCCCAGGTGGAGATTACTCCATCCACACAGTTAAGTGTAGATGGAGGAATCTGTTGCACCTTTTCCATCTGACCATAGAAAATCTGCAGATAATTGTAAGGTGTATGGCCAGCTTCAGAATGATCCAACTCCCTGAATAGAATCCCTCACAGGAACACACATCTGCAGGACAGGTCTTGCCTCAAGCACACCTGATGCAAGTAATCAAGGGCTTCATTAGCTGCACCAGGTGTGCTTGAGCTAGACCAGATGAAATAATGGTCACAAAAGAAGAGAAGAGATCATCGCCTTTCACAAATAAGGAACAGGATACAAAAAGATAGAGGAGGCACTGAATGTTCCTAAAGACACTGATGGAAGCATAGTTCACATGTTCAAAGTTAAAGGAACAGTGGTTAACTACCTGGACGGGCCAGAAAAAGGAAGCCATCAACGGCTGCAACCAGATTTCTGAGAAGGCAGGTTGAGAAAAATCCTTCAGTGATTGCAAAAGAACTGCAGTAAGACTTGGTGACAACAGGCACTGAGGCCCTATGGATCAACGGTATGTCTGGAGGAAGAAGAATGAAGCATATGCTAAAAAAAAAACACTCTGCCTACATTTAGGCATGATGGTGGCTCGGTGATGCTCTGGGGCTGCTTTGCATCTTCTGGTACTGGAAACCTGCAGTGTGTGGAAGATAGGAGCTACTGGCCCTGCACTGGAAATAGTCTCGACTGTTATATTTACATATGAATAGGTGGCTTTATTTACATATGAATAATCCACGACTCATTCTCCCAAACAAATGTCAGCGCGTCGCTAGAGTGTTCGGGTTTCGCTCGCAGAAAAGGTGGCAACCCTATTCTGAGCTCTGCTCTACCAAGACTGCAAGAGGCTGATATCAGGTCACATTCCGGTACGTGCACTGCTCACATCAAAAGAAACCCATTATAATGATGTATTATCAAATACAAAACTGCATTCACATCTGTCTTTTATTTCTGCCTTGAGTTCAGCTTTTAGAGTATCCAGCTATGACCAAGGCCAGGACTGGCCAAAACGCGTAACCCGTGAGGGCTGTTTAATGCCGGCTAATGCGATGAAAGTTATTCTCAGTGCTTGCATGAAGAGTGCTGGCGTTTTCTATATTTGACAAGTTCACTTTAAACACCACAGAGACGCATTAGCCACAGAAACCGCCACATTGCTAGCTGATGTTCAGACTCAGAAAAGGCTTTAAATTAGCTTGACTGAGCCTGGCTATAAATGGATGGTAAGACATAGAAAATGAATAGGGGTAAGCAGCGGGACTGTCCTTTACACCAGCCGCTGCCTCTGAAGATCTGAGGATCATTATAGTAAATGAAGAGACGTACACGGTCTGTTCCCAGATAATGCCTTTTTATCTCCATGGCCTCGTTAAGTGGGGTGATGCCATTACCTGTTTTGTCAGATTTCATCCCAGCCGGCTGGAATCCTTTATGCACATTTGTCATGAGATGGGCCATGTCTGCTAAGTTATACAATAAGAGCCCTGGCCTAACTCAAAAGGAGGAAATTGTTCACTTCGTCGTTATTTGCTTGCCACCCCATGGTCTCATAATTGCCTTTTATATATACAATTGTACAGTAAATGCTCCTCCTGGTGACCATATATATAAGGGACTATAAAACCTCTACTTAAAAGCTCATTCACACTAGCCGCACTGTAGTGGCTAGTGTCCATTGATTGGCAGCGGTAAGCCATGGAAAATTAACTTTATTTGGAGTGTACAACTTGTACACTCCATTCAAGTCCCCGCACAGCATGGCGGTGTACTAGCGCACTGCAAAAAAAATGCAGCATGGTTTAATACTTTCACAGCGCACTGCGCATCACACCCGTGTTGTAGTGTGAACGGGCCACATAGAAAATAATTGTTTTCGGGGGCGTGGTCTGGCCGCGCGAGTGTATGGCCGCTTGATCCGTAAGTGGAGCCGCTGGATCTTGCTAAAAAAAAATAATTGTTTTCTATGAGTCTTAGCGGTGACTGGCCTTGCTCAGCTGCTGAAAAACACCAGTCACTCCTTTAGTGTGAATTAGCCCTAAAAAAGAACTCTTCTCCTCTTAATTTGCTTTATTTTTTAGAAAAATTCCATCCTTCTCGTTCCCAGTTTACAAAGGGTGCCAAAGCATTATTTACCCCCTCCATGCTCCCCCCCAACAGTGCAATCACCTCCGGTCCCCTCTGCCGCTCCTCTTCCCAGCTGAAACACACCCAGCATGATTCTACCCACTTTCTATGAGCCCAGGGTGTAGGCGGGGTTCACTCTCAGGGTGTTGCGTGTAGTGATGTACAGCCAATGTGCAGTACTACAAAGCAGGAAGCAGAGTCCGAATATGTAATGAGCAAACATAATTGCCTCCAAAGCCATCAAAAAGACTGAGAGCGAGGCTCCAGGAGGAGAAGTATACATACTAATAAAGAGGTTTCTACCGCCCTCCATACCACTGACATTTCCAAATCCCTAAGGACAAAAACAAAAAGGTGTTGGAGTCACTTTAAGGATGTACACCCACCGCTACGTGACAAACAGGAAAAAAAATGCTTTCCAGAAGCAGCGCAGATGTACAACATTAAAATTAAAATGCTCTTCCTTTCTCCATCTATCAAAACAGTGCAGCGTTTCTATGGTTTTTGTCAGCTTCCATCACAGAATGTACCATCTGAAGGCAGATTATACAGTATATATATATTTCTCTCAAACGTTTTGTGAAAGGAAAATATCTTCGGTCACATGTTAAAAATAGTGGAAAGTAGAGGCGGTAAAAAACCTTTTAGCCGAGTGCCTTGGACGGAAATGTCTAGCAGAGGTTGTCACTTCTTCGGACGGCGCAATAATAATATTACTGGAAAAAGGGATAAAATTAGGAATCAGTGAAGAGATGAGACTCCCAAAGCACCTGAGCCGCTGGGTGCCTTGTGATATAATCTGCAGGCCATCCAACACTACAATGACCTCAATACAGTGGCGTCACAAGGAGGGTGCGGGGGGAATGAACAGTCAGGAACTCGGTCACGGACCGAGAGCCCGACAGTGTCAGGAGAGAGGAGGGGACCCCTCTTATCTCTTCCGGCGTCCATCATCAATAAGGCAGCCGCGCATGCACAATGATGTCATCGTGCACGGCAACGTCACGCGCATGCGCAATGATGTCACAGCAGGGTGTCATTGTCTGCCACATGCAATGCTGTTTTGACACCTCTCTCTGGGTGGGTTAATAACACCTGCTAGCTGCAATTATGCAAATGGAGCAGACCCAGGAACTCAGCACAAGGATGGTGGGAGCTCCTCATAATGGGCACAGCAGGTGTACAGACCCAGGAACTCAGCACAGGGATGGTGGGAGCCCCTCATAATGGGCACAGCAGGTGTACAGACCCAGGAACTCAGCACAGGGATGGTGGGAGCCCCTCATAATGGGCACAGCAGGTGTACAGACCTGGGAACTCAGCACAAGGATCTCATTAATAGAGTCAATGATGTTCAAAAGACATCATCATGTGATTTAATTCTTCAGCATGTACCAACCACAGGAATACAAGTTTTGGACAGACTGAACTTTTAAGGTGTTACAGGTAGGCTTGTCCTTGTTATGTAGAGTTCTCCCTGCAATACGTTTTGTAACAGATTATATAATAAGTCAGTAGGTGTCTGCTAGAAAAGCAAGAAGAGTTGGACTTAGTTGCAGGATAGAGTGCTTGGTGGCAGGATAGTCAAGCAGACTTTATCCCCATGAAAAGTATGGAACACCAGAAGACACATAGGAATGATGAGGATGTGTCACCAGCATCTCATTAATAAGCCATCGGGACATTGGTATCCACAGTAACAACCGACCAGGCAGGCTTTGTTTTCAATGTGTAACTTATACCATCAGAATCCTATTGCTTGCACTTGACAGAGCATTCCTCTGAATGTTATCTGGATAATTGGCACATCATTAAAATTGTATCTCTGGCAGAAAACCAGCTAATGCATAGTAATATACAGATATGACCAGATTATGTATGAAAACTTCATCTTTTGTACTGCTGTACGAAGAGGACACATATAAAAGATTAAACTAGGGTCTGTATTGCTTACAGACAATTAAACCTACAAAGATAAACACCCGAGAAACTGGTTATGTAAGAGGAAAAAAAATCATTTTTCACTGCAAAAAATGAACTGTTCAGATTTAAAGTGTAGAAATATTTCCAATCCCTGATCCTTAAGCTTAATGAACCCCCAAAACAAATCAAAACCTAACCCCTAACATAAACCCTAACCTAAACATGACCTCTAAATGTAACTAGGGTTGCCACCTGTCCAGGATTCACCCGGACAGTCCGCGTTTTGTATGCTGTGTCTGGGTTTCATGGCAGCAGAAACCCGGACACATGATGCCAGGCAGACAGGGGCAACCAAAATTACAATAGTGGCTACTGGCCCCCCACTGAAAATATCCCAACTGTGATATTTACATATGAATAAGCCGCGACTCATTCTCCCAAAAAAAAGTCAGTGGGTCGCAGGTCCAGGTGTCTGAGCTCAGATGTAGACAT